ATGTGAAATGTGCACAAGCTTTTTGTAGCTTAATCCAATCCAGCCTTCAAATAAAAACCGTTAATCATTAAATGACACATCAGATTTGAAAGTTTGGTCCGGAGGAGTCGAAGCAAACAGATCCAAAGACTATCAGGATCCACAGAGCTGAAAACTGTCTTTAGACTTCCATCAAATAGAGACACAAGAAGAAGAAAGGCTGAACGCCCAGCGAAGGAATGCAGAAAAGCTTCTGTGGCTAAGCCCACATGGCTGACCCTGAGTTTTAAAGCACTTCTTTGAATCAGCAGAACCTGATCCAGAACCAAGCAAAGAGGGGAGAACAAAGACAGAACGAGGTGGGAAAATRAGGGCAAGGTTGTGAAGGAAAGATGGGTTCAGCAGCTGCTTTTGTCACATTTTATTGCACATACGCACATCAGGACTGAGGAACAAAAGGCTCATTGGCAAGGTTTGCTGTTAAGRGAAGCTTCAAAGAAATTAGAGCTTTAGGTGAGAAAGGAAGAGGAAAATAGCAGCAGTTTTAAACAGAACTAAAATCTAAATAAATATTGTCCTGAACGACAAACTTCCTGATTAAGAGATGAATTCAGATCTTTTATAATAGAAATAAATACAGTGCAGATGAAAAAGTGCAAATGAATCAAATTTGTTCTAAAGTTAAGAATTAATATAGAAGTTTAATTATTCATAATAACTATACAATTTATCTAGAAAATATTTGATTTTCAGCCAAAACATTATTATTATTAAGCATTAATGTAACAAATCTAAACTTTGTTTCACTTTTTAAAGTTGCTCAGTAAAACACAACCACAGCTTTGAAAAAAAAAAAAAACAACAACCTGATATTGTTTAAAAAAATGTTTAGCGTCTGCCGCCTTCATGCCAAAAAGTAGCAGAAGACATGTTGTGAACGACTCTCAGCTACTACCACACCAGATATTAGCTTCTTATCTGTAGAGTTGACTTGAGTTAGAGCTGTTTTTTGTGTTCACAGAAGCTGATCAGCTGTGGTGGCCATCTTGAATCAGGATGACCCCAGAAGTCAATCAGTTGTAGATGTTTATATATAATTCTTGCTTTCTTGCTCATGAGATATTTTGCTAACTTTTGCCTTCCTGCCATGTGAGCAAACAAAAGCAGAAGACACTAATTACCACAGATTTGACTAAAAATGTAGCTTAAGCAGCAACTCATCAACATGTTGGCACAAACCATGGCAGGGGTTTGACTTCAAATTTTAGGATGAACACTTTTTCTCGAGCGCTACGTGAGAGGGAGGCAAAAGTTGCACTTTGTCTCGGATTTTTAACTGACAGGATGATGGATCTGGGAGCGAAGGGGACCAGGGTCTGGGGGTCTGGGGGAGAATTTACAGCTGCCCGTGTCGAGCTGTGATCCCGTTTTTCAACCAGAGGAAGTATTTCCCCTCCATGTGCCGTCAAGATGCGAGGAGGAGATGACACCCACAGTCCCGCCACGACGGTCAGAGCCACATGAGAAAGCACGGCGGAGCGGAGATAACAGAGAGATGTGGAGAGGTTAATCCTCTCCAGTTGACCTGTGCTCGGCACAAGTGAGTGGACTGAGTGAAGATTTTCCAAGGATAACCCGGACTGCGGCTCAATGGGCAGGTCAGGTGTCCCTGGATGTGAGGGGAAGTAACCCATTTAGAGAAATGAAAGGTTTTAAGGAAAAGAGATTTTCAAGGTTGACTGTGGTGAGCAAGATTCATACACACACACACACACACACACACACACACACACACACACACACACACACACACACACACACACACACACACACATCCCAACCAGGGAAAACAGCTTTTTTCTTTTTTGCTGTACAAGAGCAACCTCTAGCCCACAGCCAATTGCACGGACCTACTTTGAACTCACAGGGGGAGAAAACCACTAATCATTTTATTAAGTGCTCGCAGGTTCTCTACAACACACTTAAACACACACATGCTGCTAATGGACAAACAAGATTTTTTTTTTAGGTTTTTAGAAAATTCTACAAAGGATGGCACCTACCGCAAATTAAACAAATTTCTTTAGACCACATTCTTCGTTTCACTCCTCCTWATCTCCATCTTTACTCAGGAAAACAGGTTTTAGCCTAAAGGTCAAAAATCAGAGAATTAAAGCTCAAAACACATTTTCCTGCTTTRTGGAGGAAGGCTGCTGCTTTAACACCAAGTCTTTTATGAAGGATGTCATCAGAACTGTAGCTGCTTCCACCAAATTGCTTTTGTTAAACACACGTACGTTTAGATTCACCCATCTCACCTGAGATGTTGATCTACAGTTGTTTCAGAGAAGCAGAAATCGACTCTAAACTTAGACCACAGGTGGGCATTAACACTATGGACATATGGACCCCCCTCAACACACACACACACACACACACACAAATTGCACTGCATCTGGATAAAATGTGTGGCTGGCAAATGCAGGCCTGACAGGATGCAGGAAACGGCTGTGGATGTGAATCTCTGCCCCGGGGTCCTCCTCCCACACCAACAGGCATCTCTGAGYGCTCCCACCGATGAATGATGGGTTTTCTTACTGAAAGGGCGAGCGCAGACCTCCAGTAAAGTGTGTGTGTTCATGTATCTGTCTGTTACCAACACATCTCATGAACCACCGGACACATTTAACTGAAATGCTCAAAAAGTATTAATTTGTTGTACATCTAGAACTGATTTATCTTTTGGCCTCGGCTTGATTCAAGATGGCTGCCACAGCCAGCTGACCTTTAGAAACACAAAACTAACTGTAATAAACTCAGTCTTGCAGATATTAATCTAAAGTTTGGCGTGGTTGTAGGTTAGACTGATTCACAAAACACGCTCTAAAAATGTTAAGGATTGTGCAAGATTTTTGCTTGAAATTTTGTCATCAACGTTTCACAGTCAACTTTGGTTGTTAGGAAAATATCTCATGAATTATTGCAGGGATTCTAATGAAATTTCTAAGAACTAATCACTKGATGCAAATCTACAACTGATTAACTTTTGGAGTCAGCTTSATTCAAAACGGTCACTACAAGCAGCTGACATTTACAACTCGCCCAAAAAAACTATAATTTAGTCATTTTTTTTTACAAATATTGTGCAAAAATTGGGTGCAGTTGTAGCTGAGCATCACTCACAGCACATACGTGCTATGCATTACACATGATGTTTGCTTGAACCTTTTAGAATAAATATTTGGACTTGACAATTTTTGCCTGTTAGCAAAATATTTCACAAACCACTAAACAAATTTTAATTAAACTCTCAGAAAATAATGAGTGATTGTACATCTACAACTGATTTAATCTTTGTATGGCCAATCCACATGAAGTTGGCAGGTACAGCTAGTCAAAATGAGTCAACACAAAATGACTATAACCCTGTCATGCTGAGTGATTTAAACCCTAAGTTTCGTGTGGTAGCAGCCGAGAGTCATTCCCAACAAGCTGTCTGAGTGTCACATCTATTTAGGCTCATTCATATTGGCTACAACATTTTGAGTTTTAAATTTTGTATTGTTTTGAACATAAAATTTAACTAAAATTCATTGCATCGCACATATAAATCTCGAAAAAAAATTGACACAGAGTAACTCATGGACGATCTGCTTTTCACAATTTTTACAGTATATGTAATACTTCTAAAACCTTACTCAAAAATATTATTCCGTTGCTCTTTTTCCTGTCACTTTTCAAAATTCCTTTACATTTTACTYATGTTGTACATCGTTTTTCTTTTTTTTTTTTCTGGCATCTTTTGCATTGTTGCATTTCCATTATTGTGTGCTTTTGTTTTAACTGTTTACTGTGTATTGCTGTGTATGCGACAAATAAAATTTTAAAAGTATTTCTCGACACAAAACGGTCCTGGTCTCAAACTGGCATGAAGGCAGTAAAATGCAGTTCTTCCAGAAATGCTAAGGTCCTCGTTTAACTGAATCATCACTTACTTTAAATAAAACCAAAAAAGACTTCAGTGAATGATGTTACACTAAGAAATAAAAAAAAATGTCAGGACTGACCAAAAGCRGTGCTGCTTTGCCACATCAAGTGGCTGAAGCAACAGAATCAAAACATGCTGAAAGTGCTGACTGCACTCTGCAGGTATGAAGCCAAGAATCCTGAAAAAAAAAATCTGCTTTTCAAGTCAGGAGGAAACGGTCTTCTCTGGTTACTGCAGCTCCACACACCACAAGTGTACACACACACACACACACTCTTTACAGGAGTGAATAAAATCTTTGCTGCCTCTACTGCCATACTGATGGCAGCAGGGAGCGATGCAGTTAAATGATGAAGATTCATTTTTTTTGCAAAGAAAAAGAAGGCAGCTGTGGCTGCACTCCAGATGAGCAGCTGCTTTGTCTTGGTTTAAACATCCCGTTTTACAACGTGTCTCTTCATTGACTGCTTCTATTCAGGGGTGGGAGTGCGAAGTGGGTCAAATGGGTGACACTTTAGAGTGCATCAGGGTCATACTTTAGGGCTAGTGGAGCACTTTAGATAAGGAATTGGAATAAACGGTCTGTTGAAACTGCTTGCAGATAGAGTTCATGACTGCTCAACTTTCCCAACGTTTTTTTTTTTTGCCACATGAAATTCTAAATTAGAAATAAATTAAGGTGTTTTACTTAATGTGCAAATATTGGCAAAGAAAAAAATGTCAAGTGCACAAATTGAGAAACAAATAGCTGCTTTAAGTCTCTAATAAACTTTTACATGAGCTCTTTTTAATGCGGAGATCCGTGAGGTGGAAGGCTGACACCTGTCCATGTTGACCCACGCACTCTGATCCAAGCGCGTCCTGCTGATAAAACATCCAACACACTCACGACCCCACAGCCTGAGTTTCTAATAAGTTAATGGCACTGATTATCTTCATATAAGACAAACAGCGCGCAGAGGAAAACCCCGCTGCTGTGTTAGAGATGATGTGCAAAAAACAGCGCGCTGAAGAGTGACCCAAACGAACTCACCACAAGTGGAAGGCTTATTTGAAAGCAGAGATCCAGAGCAGAAGCGTTCCTCTCCAAGCGCAGAAAAGACTTCGTTCCTCTCACATTCGCCTCAATAATAATAAAAACGACAACAGCAATAAAACATTAAACTGAAACGGGACGTGAACGAGAGGAGCTGCGCCGCTGGATCCATCCGCGCCTGGCGCTCACACCAAATGAAAGCTGTCCAGTATCCATGTGTAAAACGAGCCGCGGGTAGGCTACTCCCCAATAAAATCAATCCCAGATTTTTTTCCCAAACCAAGTGCGCAAAGGGGGTGAGAGCGTGCGCGCGCCTGAGAAAGGAGGGAGGGAGGGAGGTAGAGAGGAGTGTGTAAAAATGATTCCCATAGACCGGTGTGTTTGCTTGTTTCATTTTACCTGCAATTTGGTGATCACTTCCCAAATTACGCGCAAAGAAAAACCAACTCATACCCACCGGAATCAAATGACAAACCTGTCCCCTATTCTTTTGTTTTTTCTAGCAGAACTCATTGTTTCCTCTCTCCTGTGTGCTGCATTCACAGGCTGTCAAATGTAGGTCCGTAATGAGCGCACACAGCTAAACCTGTCCGAACTGTGGAGACTTCGGGGGGTGGGGGTCACTGGTGTTCGATCTTATCCACTCCAAGAGTAGCGTTGGACCCATCACACCAACACTTTTGGTGATGTTGCATTGGCTGTATTCATTTGGCTTCATCTCCCTTTTATAACGCGCGTGTCTCGCAGCTTTTAGTGGAGCGAGTGCGTAAAAGCGCACCAAGGAGCGCTCTGGGTTTCAGCTACATCCTGCGTCATTCCTGCTAAATAACAGTTTTTCTTCAAGGAGCTGCTGTTGGGGWTGTTGTCACAGGGGTTATTGTATTGCTTGTTATGTTGTTGCAAACAACAACCAGTGTTAACCGGTGCGTAAAAACGCCGAACTCCAGACGGCTGAAGATTTATTTATTTATAATTTTACTTAAACACAGTCTGCTGGCTTCTTGTGTATGTGTGTGTGTGTGTGTGTGTGTGT